GTTAGCCACAGTTGGTAATTCTGACCTTCTGTTATGTGGCCTGTTGATGAAACCATTCAGGGGACCAGAGGTGACAAAGCACACCCAGAAATTAAAGCCATGTGGACACACGAACCTGATGGGCACCGGCCTCCCGAAGACATACCGACCTCTCCGTCAACAGTTTGCTTCTTCACCAGAGTCTGCCGAAAGATGTGTTGACCGGGTGGCAAGGTTTAGAGACAGAATTTCCATGTTCTGGTGACATGGCTTATCTGTGTGCAGTGTTCCAGTAATGTCAGTTAACTGTGCAGTGTTTCCAGTGGGATTAGAATGGCCTACAACAGAGACGATCCCAGTTGCTGTGCAAATACATCGCTTCCTTATGACCACTGCTGAACTAATGGGCGCTACCATGACCACCCAGGCTGTTCTGTTTCACACTATAAATTAAGCTTAATGTCATATATGACGGGATCGTTCATCCTCGTTTACTGTGGAAGTGTTAGTAAAATTGTGCCTGGTCAGGAAATGGGGTAACCCAAAAGAGGAAGTAGAAAGCCAGGGGAAAAGCAATTAGTAAGTAGTGACCACTACCGGGGTGTGTTCTCGAGATCAGGACGGTCGCTCTACCGTGTCAGTTAAAGAAACCTAGGCTGACATGATAACTGGGGGTTTTAGCTGAAATATAGAGAATCTGTTTTCCCCCTTGATAGTAGCATGTTGGGTTCACTATGAATGTTGAATTTTGCCTTCATGATAAATAGTTCTCCTTGCGAATACAAGTGTAGTAATAGCATCACTAATTAATTTGCTAAACGTCTTTTCCTGATCTCAGACGCTCATAAGACCTTTGGGTTCAACAATGTTAATTAAGTATGGAGGAAACCTTAGGGACCGTCCAGTCAACCTCGTATTTTGTAGTGAAGGACATGAGATTCAGTGAGGTTAAGTAACCTGCTCAGAGCTGGACAACTAGTTGTCTCAACTAGAATTTAGGTTTCTACTTCAAGTCCAGCATTCTCTAATTTATAATTCCACCGGAGCTGTGCTGCTCTCTTTTAGTCAAGCACTGAGCTGTTAAATATGTTTTCCTTTGGGCCTTGTTTGTCCAGAACTAAAAGCTAAGTTGTGCCCAATTATGGTACTTATCCCATTCCTGGTTCCTGAGATAATGAGCTCCCCCTTTAGCTCTGTGTGTCTTTGAGCTGAGCTTTATCGTAAGCACCCTGTGAAAATGTGGGTATTCTTCCTGGTCTAGCTCAGGTGTCACCTCCCGCATGAAGTCTCTCCTAATCTCTCCAGGCAGAACAAACCTTTATAATGATGATAGTAACCACAGCAAGAATAAGTGTTATTGGGGCTTCCCTGGTGGCGCAGTGGTTGAGAGTCCGCCTGCCGATGCAGGGGACGCAGGTTCGTGCCCCGGTCCGGGAAGATCCCACATGCCGCAGAGTGGCTGGGCCCGTGAGCCATGGCCACTGAGCCTGCACGTCCGGAGCCTGTGCTCTGCAGCGGGAGAGGCCACGACAGTGAGAGGCCCGCGTACCGCAAAAAAAAAAAAAAAAAAAAAAAAGGTGTTACTGAGCCCTTACTTTGTGCTGGGCAGTGTTCTCAGTGCTTTGGAGTTGTCAGTTCACTCAGCCTCATAGCCACCCTAAGACTGAGTTCTGCATTGATCTGTACTGACAGACAAAGAAACTGAGGCAACTAGGAATCCAGCACTGGCTCAGGTCCTGCAGCAGGTCCGCTGTGCTCCCAGAGCACATGGTGCAGGCGCCTTTGCAGGGCCTGGAGTGGGCTGAGGTGTGTAGGACCCAGACTCCCATTTGTAGATGTGAACATCTTCAAAGCAAAGCGCACTGTTCCTTAGAGCTTGTTTCCTTTTGTTTTCCTTCCATTAAAAATAAAGCCAAGGGACTTCCCTGGTGGCGCAGTGGTTGAGAATCTGCCTGCTAATGCGGGGGGCACAGGTTCGAGCCCTGGTCTGGGAGGATCCCACATGCCGTGGAGCAACTAGGCCCATGAGCCACAACTACTGAGCCTGCGCATCTGGAGCCTGTGCTCCACAACAAGAGAGGCCATGATAGTGAGAGGCCCGCGCACCACGATGAAGAGTGGCCCCCGCTTGCCACAACTAGAGAAAGCCCTCGCACAGAAACGAAGACCCAACACAGCAAAAATAAATAAATTACTAAACTCCTACCCCCAACATCTTCTTTAAAAAATAAAATAAAGTCAAGATGAAAAGGGATTTAATATCTATCATAGCAAATTTTACTTCTTCAGAATATTGTCTATGGTCCGATTTGATTCAAAAATTTATTGTAGGCTTAGGACGCATAAAAGAAGTTGAAATTTCATAATACATCTTACCCTTAGGCAAACTCGTAAGAAGAGCTACTGAAATTAAATGAGGATGTGTACTTGTGTCTAGAAGTTTTCCAGCTCATTTCTGGTTGAAGTGAATCTTTGAAGAGGCAAGAGGCCTGAGCAGGAAGCTAATACTTGATAGAGCTTTCAGCTCCAGGCTTCCATGACAACGATTTATGGGAACTGCCCTTTCTGCATCTTCAGTTTAAAATGTCAATATTTACGCTGTTTCCTACACTTGCAAAATACCCTTTCTCACTGGTCTCTTAAATGACACTGACAGTATTTTTTTTAGAATTTCTTTTAAAAAAAATCTGATTGAGTCCTGTTCTTGGTCCACAAAGCTCAGTTTCCACAGACATTGGATATTTGCATCATGTGCTTAGGTCCTTGTGGGGGTAGCAGGCAAAGAATTTAGATACGGAAAACACAGGGCAGAATTGAGCAGTGCCTGGAGAACGGGCTAATTTATACTTTAAGAGCTTCGGGAGACATTAGATTTGTCCTGGGCCACTGCTTCATAGATTTGGTTGCACACTGGAATTGCCCAGGGTGTTTCTTTAAAATACTGGTGCCAGGGGACATCCCTGGTGGCTCAGTGGTTAAGACTCCGAGCTCCCAGGCTTCCCTGGTGACACAGTGGTCGAGAGCCCGCCTGCCGATGCAGGGGACACGGGTTCGTGCCCCGGTCTGAGAAGATCCCACATGCCGCGGAGCGGCTGGGCCCGTGAGCCATGGCCGCTGAGCCTGCGCGTCCGGAGCCTGTGCTCTGCAACGGGAGAGGCCACAAAAGTGAGAGGGCCGCGTAACCCCAAAAAAAAAAAAAAAAAAAAAAAAAGACTCTGAGCTCCCAATGCAGGGGGCCCGGGTTCGATCCCTGGTCAGGGAACTAGATCCCCCATGCATGCCACAACTAAGGAGCCCGCAAACCACAACTAAGGAGCCTGCCTGCCGCAACTAAGACCCAGCGCAACCAAATAAATAAATACTTTAAAAAATAAAATACTCATGCCAGGGTCCCACCCCTAGATCCTAACCATTGGGCTGGGCTCTTGGACCTGACTGTAGGATATGTCAGACCTCCTCAGATCATTCTAATACACATCAGAATTTGAGAGCCACTGACCTAACCCACCCTCCCCCCGGCCCCAGGGTATTTGGGGCTGACCTAAGGTCAGAACTGTAGCATCTTCCAGGGTACCCCAGGCTGCACATGGGCCACCCAGTTGCTCCAGGGAACGGCTGGGGAACCACTTTGTCTCCTTCTACAACTTCACTCCCCACGCCCAGGGCATCCCCCCACTGTCCCTGGCTGGTCCACCTCTGTCTGTCTCCACCATCCCCCTCACAGCTGACAGGCTGACTCCTGCCCTGCCTTCTCATCTGCATGGGCCTGGGCTCGCCCACAGAAGACTTGCCTCTAGCCATGTTGCTCCCCTTCTCGAGCTTCTGCCAAGGGCTTCCTGCTGCCTCTGGGGTCCTGTAGCCCACGGACGGACCCTTGGGGGCTGGCACCCGCCTCTCCCCCACCCCCTGGGCTTCCACTCCTGCTGCCCCTCCCCCTCACGCCTGGCGCTCTCGTCCAGCTCCCCAGGCCCACGCCTGCCTCTGGTTCTCTCTCACACTGTTACCTCCGTGTAGCCTAATTTCTCAGCCCCCCTTTCTTCATCCTGCTTGCCGTTCAGATCTCAGCCTAAAGCCCAGTTTCTCAGAATCCTGACACCTGCCACAGCACGGGTGAACCTTGAGGACGTTACGCTCAGTGAAATAAGCCAGACACAGAAGGACAAATGCTGTGTGGTTCCCGTCACACGAGGTCCCTGGAGTTGTCAGATTCCTGGACACAGAAAGCAAAAGGGTGGGGGCCGGGGTGGGGGAGGGGGATGAGGAATCAGTGTTTAATGGGGACAAAGTTTGAATTTTGCAGGATGAAAAGAGTCCAGGAGATGATGATGGTGATGGTTGCACATCACTGTGAATGCACTTAACGCCACTGAACTGTACACTTAAACGTGGTCAAGGTGGCAAATTTTGTGTCATGTATGTTTTACCACAATAAGAAAACTTTTTTCCAGTCACTTTCTCAGGGACTCCTTGCCTGCCTTTGGCCTAAGTTAGTAGTACTGTTACGTGTTCCCAGAGCTCCTCAGAACATTTTCCTGTTAAAGTTTATCTTCTTTACCGGATTGTGAGTAAAGGCACATGATACGTCCCACCTCATTCATCCCTGTGCTCTCCCATGATTGGCACAGAGTTGGTGCCCACTAAGTAACTTTTCATAAATGTTGAGTGAATAATCACAGATTTCAAGCTTCCCAGCCCACCAGTCACAATTCCTAGGAAAAATACAGTTGCTAAGATAGTCAAAGCCATTTGATGTTAACATACCCAGGAGTATCAGACAGATTGTCTGGTCATGGTAAATGATAACATTGGGTGAACTCTGTGGAGTTTGAGTCTCCAGTTGACCTTAAATGTAGATGATTTTGGAGGTGGGTGAGTTCCAAAGGGTCCCGAGACTACGTCTGTTCTGTCAGATAAATGCAAAGGAAAATGCGGACCACATTGCTGGTTTGAGATTTTTAAAGAATACCCTATTTGTAAGCACTTCCTTGATTAACGCTATGTTTTTTCTCTTTCCAAATTAGATATTTATCTTTGAAAACAATATCTACTACTGTGCACACGTCGGGAAGCAGGCCATCCGTGTGGTCTCAACTGGGAAGGAAGGTGTGATTTACAACGGCCTTAGCGACTGGCTGTACGAAGGTACGCGGGATGTGGGAGGCTTGGTGCCCGTGGTCACTGCTGCTGCTGCGTCACTGGGATTGGCCGTGGTGGTGTTTCCTCTGACTCTGTCAATTAAACTCCGTTTCTTGAGGTTCTGCTAAATTACAAAGAGACTGTGGAGCCTCGGGGAGCAGCAGGCAACCATTGGGGGCCTGCGGTGTCAAGCACTCACCTGGTGGCCAGGTGGGCAGGGCATCCTACAACCCTGTGCTGTGCTGGGGGGTGACTCCCGGAACAGTCAGGATCCCAGATGTGCAGGTTTCCTGCTCCCTTTCTGAGAGGTTGAGTGCCTGGTTCTGCCTGGGGAAGGGAGAGCTGGAAAAGACATCAGAGGGTAAAGCTTCCAAAAGAAACGTGTCAGGGTGGCCTGCTGGCCTGTGAGCATCCGCCTCATCGGACGTTTTCTGCTACTGGTTTTCCTCTGGCACCAGAGGACTCCAGCGGTATGCATTATTAAATGACTAAAAATCTGAGTGAGAAGCTCTCTTCTTAAGCATTTATAACCCGTCTCCGCATTAATGACAACTTCGTCGTAACAATAACAGCCCTGTATTGATTGCCGTTAGTTGCCAGGCGCTATGCTAAGCACTTTAGTGCTTTTTATTACCTCATTTACCCGCCACGTTAGTCCAGGCTGCTCTAAGGAACACCACAGACTGGGCGGCTTAAGCAACTTTTATTTCTCGTAGTTCTGGAGGCTGGGAAGTCCAAGATCAGGGCTCCAGCAGAGCTGGTGTCTGGTGAGGGCTCTTTTCCTGGCTTGCAGATGGTCACCTTCTCCCTGTGTCCTCACATGCCAGAGGGAGAGAAAGTCATGGGGAGGAAGCTCTGGTCTCTTCATCCTCCTAGAAGGGCACTAACCCCACCGTGGAGGCTCCACCCTCGTAACATCATCACCTCCCAAAGGCTCTACCTCCAGACACCATCACATTGGGGATTTTGGCTTCCACCTGAATTTTGTGGGGCCACAGACATCCAGTCCATAACGCCCTCATGAGAGCATTCTGAGATGAGTGCTGCTATGGACATTTCACAGAGGAGGCTCAGTGAGGGTAAGTCATCTGCCCAAGGTTACACGAGGTTAGGGGAGATGTATCATGGAGTATCACTGTTCAAGTGCAGGACTACCCCCTCTCTGGAAATGCAGATGTCAGCAGGATGCCGACACAGCCCAGCACTGGGCTGATAAACAGCTTGTGTTCTTGTCAGCCTACTGGTCTGAGACCACATGATCACAGGAAGAATTCACTGTGCTGGGCTGGGGCAAGGGTTGGGGGCGGTCAGGGGACCCCCAGCGGGGTCTGGGCATGACCAAGCCCATAAAATACCGTGTTTCCTCAGTGCTGTGCATTCCTCAAGCTGGGTTCTGCATTGCAGGGGTTTATGTATCCTAAAGGACAGAGCGGATAGACCTGTATGCTTAGTCCTACTTCCCATTGTGATTTCACTGAAGTCACTGAAGCATAAGGTTGACTTGATTTCCATTTTTTTAAAGTGAGATGTAAGTTGTAGACAGTAAAATGCACAATTATAAAGACACAGTTTCATGGGTTTGACACAGTATACACTGGGCAGCCCCATCAAGATATAGAACATTCCAGGACCTCCCTGGTGGTCCAGTGGTTAGGACTCTGCACTCGCATTGCCAGGACCCCGGTTCAGTCCTTGGTTGGGGAACTAAGACCCCGCAAAGCCATGTGGCGTGGCCAAAAAAAAAAAGATATAGAACATTCCATCATCTCAGAAAGCACCGCCCGAGCCCCTTTCCAGTCACGTCTCCCCTCACCCCAAGCTTCCCTTCCAGAGGCTCCTACCATCCTGATGTTTGTGCAGCTGGCTTCCTAGCAGAATGCTGGTACGTGGGCACCCATCTAGGCCGGCCCTCTCGCTGCGTCTCCCTGGAGTCCCGTGTTTACTCCAGCATGGCTGCTGCTGCTCGGAGCACCCAGGATTCCGGTACTGAGCTGCCTTCTGGGGCCAGGAGAATCGACCTTGAGGTTTCATCGGGCTCATACAAGGGAGTCACTGGAACAAAATGGACACTGTCCAGCTTCCACTGTCCTGTGCACAAACAGCCTTATGAGCAGCAGGCCCCAAGTTCCAGGGCGATCAGGGCAATGACAACCCAATGACCCCTAGAGAGAGAGGCCCCTGGAGCCCTGGCTAGAAGGACCTAGACCTGCCCTAGGAATAATCTCCTTCAAAAATCCGTCGCCAGGAGATGGAGAATGTCTTTTTTAGTATCTTCCTAATAAAATAAAAAGCTCATTGCCTTGTAATTCGAAGTAAGCTTTTGCTTCAGCAGATCCGTTGAAAAGAAATATTTCCTCAAGGCATTTACACAGAATTGTGTTGGTGTGACAACAGGGCCCCACGTATTCTAAATCAGTCCCAGTTGATGTGGCAGCTTCATCTCCTTAGTGCTGCCCCCTGGAAGGTTATATTTGCTGATGCTTCGGTCTCTGAAGTTGGGAGCATGAGAGCTCTGGGGAATCTCGGTTCCTTTTTTAATAATTGGAAGGTAAACTCTGAAGATTTCCTTTTTCTAATCTGTGACTTAACTGCTTCACTTCCACATGCTCCTTAAAAAAAAAAAAAAAAAGAAAAAAGATTAGGGGGAAAAATACCCTGACAGCATTTGCAGGGGGCCTGACTCGCTTGGAGATGTTAGTTCTGAGAAGAAACGAAGCTATATAAGTTCTAAACCACCCTGCAGCCCGTAGGCTTGTTGGCAGTCAGATGCCATATTGATTTGTTGTGTTCCCCAAAAAGGAACTTTGAACATATTGAACATTTCAGAATATCAAGGACTGAGGGAGAGAAGAAGGAGACCTGGGGACTGCCAGGAATCTCCATCCCTGGACCAAAAGTTTACACACACTCTGTAGGAAACTTCCCCAACTAACTGACGCAAGCCCCACACACGGAAATGCACCCGCGGCACTGCCTCCAACCTCAGACTGCGTGTCTCACTGACCTTCCAGTTGCCCTGCCTCCTGGTGGCCACACACTGATCTTAATAAGCAAAGTGCACGTCTTTATTTTACTCTTCTGGGCAGATGTCATGGAGTTACATAGAACTTTGATTTTAATATGGGATTAAAGACAAAAGTGTCCTACGAACTGTTTTAAGGTTTACGAAAGTTGGTTATCTAGAAACTAAAGATGTCACTAGTTTTTTGAGAAGTCAGAAAGGAAGTTTCTGTTAAGAATTTGCACTTTCATGCAAGTGTTAGCAATTTTGCAAAGCTCCTAATATGTAGGCTTATGGGCAAAGAGCTGGATTGTCCAAATTTTTATGAAAGGTTCATGGTTACCAGTGGTACAGAGATGGTTGTATTTCCCAGTTGCTGCTACTTGTTTATATTACTGGGTTGGCCAAAAAGTGCCTTCGGTTTTTAAGTAAAAGTAAAGACACATTTCTCATTTCCACCAAGAACTTTGTTGAACAGCGTATTCATCCTTTTGTTCCACTACCTTCTGCCATTTTTCAGGCAACTTCATAATTCCATCTTCCCAAAACTTTTTATCTTTGTGAGCAAAGAACTGTTCCAGGTGTCTTCCAGGGAATTGAAATTTCTTCCATTAAGAGAATTTTGTAAAGACCGAAATAAATGGAAATCCAAAGGTGCAATGTCTGGTGAATATGGCGGATAAATGAGAACTTCTCAGCTAAGCTGTAACAGTTTTTGCCTGGTCATCAAAGAAACATACGGTCTTGCGTTATCCTGATGGAAGATGATGCATTTTCTGTTGACTAATTCTGGACACTTTTTGTCGAGTGCTGCTTTCAGTTGGCCTAATTGGGAGCTGTACTTGTTGGAATTAATCTTTTCGTTTTCCAGAATGAGCTCATAATAGAGGACTCCCTTCCAATCCCACCATATACACAATATCACCTTCTTTGGATGAAGACCGGCCTTTGGTGTGGTTGATGGTGGTTCATTTCGCTTGCCCCACGATCTCTTCTGTTCCACATTATCGTACAGTATCCACTTTTCATCACCCATCACAATTTGTTTTAAAAACGGAACATTTTCATTCCATTTAAGTAGAGAATTGCATGCGGAAATACAGTCAAGAAAGTTTTTTTTTTTTTTCTTAACTTGCGTGAAAGCCGAACATCAAAGTGATGAACATCACCAAGCTGGTGCAGGTGACTTTCAGCGCTTGATTTGGATATTTTGAGTATGTCGGCTATCTCCCATGTGGTATAATGTTGATTTTTCTCAATGTCTCGATTTGATCACTGTCAACTTCAGCTGGGCTACCTGACCCTGGAGCATCGTCCAGTGAGAAATCTCCAGCACGAAACTTCACAAACCACTTTTGACACGTTCCATCAGTCACAGCACCTTTTCTGTATGCTGCACAAATCTTTTTTGGTGTTTCAGTTGCGTTTTCACCTTTCTTGAAATAATAAAGCATAGTATACGGAAAATGTTGCTTTTTTTCTTCCATCTTCAATATTAAAATGGCTACACAAAAATTCACCAATTTTGATAAGTCTTTTTAAAATACACGCTGATATGAAGCTGTCACAATCTACCAATATTGTTTCGAATGAAGTTAAAGATAACTAAGCGCTACCAGAGTCATCTTATGGAAAAAACCAAATGAACCTTTTGGCCAAGTCAGTATTTTCATTTTCATCATTGCCATCATACACACGAGGTATAGTGGTACACAGCACAGAATTTTGGGCCAATAATTTTTCAGTAATGAAACTTTTAAGTCATTACATATTTCCACTAAACTAGGAGACCTCCACACCTCTATTGCCAAAGCAGTCATATGCGTAACCCTAAATAAATAGCAGTATATTCAGTGATAGGTCATTATTGTGAAATGGCTCATACCCCAGTGGAAAGCTGGAGTGTGTCAGGCTCGTTTGAGAACTACTCTGTCCCCACGGGTGTACCAGTCCTTGTCACCTCAACTCCTCTGAGACCCGATGGAGGTAGGGTGGGGGCAGTGAA